AGTGGGTCACGTCAGTTTCAAGACGTATGACCGTAAGGCGCTTCGGGGAAGCTTGGAGTCCGTCGTAGGATAAGAGGGGGCGTTCTGTTTTGGAACAGGGAGCCGAAGGTGAAGGGGTTTATCGACGGACACCTCTCTAAGATCCTTGCAGGATCGTTTCAGGAATGGAGCAAACTTGATGAGCTTACGGGCTGTATCTACTATGAGGCCATGGGGAGTTTTTTCTTTCTTCGGAATAAGCCACGAGCATTTGCCGGGCTTGAAAACTGTCGTATCCAGATGTTCAAAGATCAACTTCGTCATTTCCTGAGGGGTTAAAGAGCTCGGGAAATGTCCTCAGAAGGTAACCCTTTTTGAAGCAGTCGCGTCTGCCTGTAGCAGTCTTGCTGTATCTGCTCGAAGACTTTGATTGCTTGGTCTGCCGCCAAGTGAACTGGGGAGTTCAACATAAGGGTGTTGAGTTTGGCGACCTGGTCACCGAGAGCGTTAACTTCAGTCTTCAACCTCCCTAGTTTTAAGGCCTGTTCCTGAATGATGCCTAGCATTTTGGCCTGTGAAAGAATTTTATCCACGACCATCACAGGTTCATCTGACCTCATTGGGAAGGTGTCCTCGTCGGAGGATCCGAGAGAGGTTTTGTCAGCCATCGAGTGGTTGGACGGTATGATAAAAAGATTTTTGCTGGTTGGAAGGAAATAACTGGGGCTGAGTAAGTATAAAACTTGTGGGAATACAAAAACCGATAGCGAGGTTAAATTTTGAACGTACTGCGTCAGGTCAGGTCGGGTTGCTCAGGACTGAATATGGCCACAGCCAATCGAGCGTCCAAAATTCCTTCGATGGTATACTCACAACGTGGCACCCAGCACTGCTGAAAAAAGATTGATAAATAGGATCTCATCTCACCAAGTTGGCGAGTGAATTATTAGACGTTAACATTCCATGCGTGTACCAGTAAAAAGGGAAAAGTCATCCTAAGGCATCCTTTGCCTAAAACCCGCTACATTTGCCCTTCTTTTCAAGAACTCTAGGTTCACCTGTACTTCGCGAAACTGCACTTCCAGGGATTTGAGTGTGCCTGCGCGGTCGTTCTGTGCTCGTTTCTTTTGTAAGCCTGATTCAGCAACCTGAAGCTTTTTCTCTAAACCACGATGTTTCGGCTGATGACTCATTTTGACTTTAGGGTCTGGGTTTGTCGTTTTCAGACCAGCACCCTTAACCAAAACCGGAGCATCTACATTTGTTTTTACTTTTTTCGCGGCTGAAACTTCGACGTACATCCTCGCTTTGTCTCGAGTGACAGGTGCATCACCCTGCACTTCTACTGGTGTGCACTGCGCTGAGACTACCTCTGATCGTGTCATAACCAGCGCATTCTCGGCTGCTCG